ATATATATATATATATACATATATATATATATATATACAGTCACATAATCTTTGACAAAGGAGCAAAGGTAATACAATGATTTAGCAAAGATAGTCTTTTCAATGAATGGTGCTAAAACAAGTGGACATCTACAACAACAAAGTAATCTAGGCTGGGGGCGGTGGCTTATGCCTGTAATCCCAGCAACTTGGTGGGCGAGGTAGAAAGGATGGAAGGATTGCTTGAGCCCAGGAGTTTGAGACCAGTCTAGGCAACCTAGTGAAACTTTGTTGCTATAAAAAAAAATTTAAAAGCCAGGCTTGGTGGCTCAGCCTGTAATCCCGCGCTTTGTGAGGCTGAGGTGAGTGGTTTGCCTGAGCCCGCGGGTTCGAGACCCGCCTGGGCAGCTTGGCGAGACCTCATCTCTACAATAAATCAAAACTTAGCCGGGCGTGGTAGCGCGCGCCTGTAGTTCCGGCTACTCAGAAGGCCGAGGCAGAAGGATCGCCGGAGCCCAGCAGGTCGAGGCTGCGATGGCCAGGCGACAGAGTGAGACTCCAACTCAAAAAAAAAAAAAAAATTTAAAAATTAGGTTGTGCTCGGTAGCTCAACCTGTAATCCCAGCACTTTGGGAGGCTGAGTCGAGTGGATTGCCTGAGTCCATGGGTTCAAGACCAGCCCGGGGAACTAGGCAAGACCTCATCTCTACAATAAAAAATTAGCCGGGCGTGGTAACACGCACCTGTAGTCCCAGCTACTTGGAATGCTGAGGCGGAAGGATCACTAGAGCCCAGCAGGTTGATGCTGGGGTGGCCATGAGTGTGCCACGGCACTCTAGCCTTGGCGACAGAGTGAGACTCTGACTCAAACAAACAAACAAATTAGCCAGGTGAGGTGGCAACGCCTGTAGTCCCAGCTACTTAGGAAGCTGAGGCGGAAGGACAGCCTGAACCCAGGAGGTTGAGGCTATGGTGAGCTGTGATCATGCCACTGCACTCCAGCATGGGTGACAGAGTGAGAACTCACTCAAAAAAAAAAAAAAAAGAAGAAGAAAGAAGAAAGAAATGAATCTAGATGAAGACCTTACACCCTTCACAAAAACTAACTCAAAATGGATCAAACACCTAAATGTAAAATGCAAATCTATAAAACTCCTGTAACACAGAAAGTCTAGATGACCTTAGGTAGAGCAATGACTTTTAAAACACAATGCCAAGGCCAGGCATGGTGACTCAAGCCTAAAATTCCAGCACTTTGGGAGGCCAAAGTGAGAGGATTGCCTGAGCCCACAGGTTCGAGAACAGCCTGGGCAACTTTGTGAGACCTCATCTCTACAATAAATCAAAAAATTAGCTGGTGTGGTAGCACGCACTTGCAGTTTTGGCTACTTGGAAGGCTGAGGGGGAAGGATCACCTGAGCCCAGCAGATCAAGGCTGCAGTGGCCGTGAACGTGCCCTGCACTCTAGCCTGGGTGACGAAGTGAGACTCCAACTCAAAAAAAAAAAGAAAAATGAAAATTTACAGATGGTAAGCAGCATATGAAAAGATATTCAACAGAATATGTCACTGGAGAATTGTAAATTAAAACAATAAGAACATCTATTTGAATGGCTAAAAAAATCCAAAACACTGACAACACCAAAGGCAGTAAGGATGTGGAGCAACAGAAACTCTTCATTGCTGGTGGGAATGCAATATGGCATACCTGCTTTGGAAAATTGTTTGGCAGCTTCTTACAAAACTAAACACACTGTTACCACACAATCTAGCAATCAAACTCCTTGGTATTTACTAAAAGGAGGTGAAAATTCACATCCACACAAAAAACTGCACTCATGTTTAAGGCAACTTTATTCAAAATTGTCAAAATGTGGAAGCAACCAAGACGTCCTTCAGTAGGTGAATGGACAAATAAACTGTGGGACATCCAGACAATGGAATATTATTCAGTGCTAAAAAGAAATGAGGTATGAAGCCATGAAAAGATACAGTTGAAGATTAAATGCATATTGCTAAGTAAAAGAAGTCATTTGAAAAGGCGACATACTGTATGATTCCAACTGTATCGCCTTCCAGAAAAGGCAAGACTATGGGGGCAGTGAAAAGGTCAGTGGTTGCCAAGGATTAGGGCAAGGGAGGAATGCAAAGGTGGAGCACAGAGGATTTTTTAGGGCGGTGAAACGACTGTATGACCCTATAATGGTGGATGTGTGTCATTATACACTTGTTGCAACCCAT